AATGGAAAAGAATCTGAAAGAATATATATATATATATATATGTATATATATAACTGAATCACTTCGCTGTACACCTGAAACTAACACAACATTGTAAATCAACTATACTTGAATAAAAACAAACAAATAAAACAGTATGTATAACAGCAAATCCAAGACTAAATGTACTCTTATGCTTTCAAAATGGGAGTAAGATAATCAATCTAGACTTTAGGGTCCCACTGTCCACTGGGTCCAGTTAAACAGTGGGGGTCAGGCACAGGATTTACTCTATTCTGAGACAAATCTCTTCTCAGCTCCACTCAATTGATAGTCTGAAGAATTATGTACAGAGTGGAGAAAGCCAGAGTCTGGAACATGCTCAGAATGACCCAACTGATGGGAGAGTTGACCTACCATAGAGAAGAATCCACATGTTGGAATTTTGGGGTTCCCCTCATGTACCAATAAACTCGGCAACTGATCACCCTTAACTAAATCCAATCAGAACGTGACCCTCACCCTGGAGATGCAACTTGGGGTTAGAGTTGGGACCATCCTTCCCAATGTCACAGGACATGTAATTGACAATAAAACATGGGTTCCTATGGAACCCATGCTCCCAAAGTAAATTGGAGGTTAACCATGCATCCCAGTTAGATAGTGTTTTGTGTATCTCGTAAAGGCTTGATTGTAGAGTGAAACACATTCAGGAATCAATTAGGGTTGAACATGCCTGTGGTATTTTTATTTCTTCTAATGTGTTAAGATTCACCCATTTGAAGACTTGCCCATGATAGCTTGTAATGTTTCCTTCTCTTTCCTTATAATTCACTTAATTTAGAAACTGCTGATTGATTCTGGGCATTTAGCTATAATTTAAATAATTTAGCTTTCCCTTACCACCTTCAAATCCAAATTAATAAAATTGGTTATTTCTTTATTTTTCTTCTTGCTTTAAACTGTTCTCTCAGAGGACTAATCCTTCCCATTTTAGATTTGTGTAATTGTTTTGTTAATTTAGTTTTTCCTATGACACCAGACCTTCCATGAGGGCAGAGAATACATCTGCTTTGCTCAACTTTATTTCCTCATTTCCTGGGATGGCCATGGGTTGACAATGCTTTAATATTTTTTTAGTGAACAGGGATAAGATTTGTGAAAGGTGAATGGATGAACAAATGGGTCAAGTCCAAGAAGTCCTGGAATGGTTAAGGGGAGTGATCTCGAGCAGTTAGACAAAAGATCACGTCATTGGAAAAAAACAAAAACAAAACACCTCATGGCATTTTCCCATCCTTGAATTACTGTGAGTTACTCTGAAAGCAGGACCTAAGACAGGGATGTAAGTGTGGGTAGTTTATTTGAGAAGCAAGAATGAGGGAGTGGGATAGGGAAAGCTTGAAGGAAAGGAATTCCTGAAATAGGGATGCATTACTGAGGTCCTTGCATGAGGTGATGTGAACAAGACTCCACCAGGATCTCTGAGAGTGTACAGAATACCCTGCAGAATTTTCCTTCCAAAGGAAGAGACACTTGGGAATGTATGCATGGACACTTGGGAATGTATTCATTCATAGGAATGTACTCCTATTCCCCATTGCTTGGAATTTTCCCCAGGCATGGTTTCATTCTTCATGGTTTGGGGCTGAAATTGTTTCAGATAAGGTCCTTCGCCCAAATGTGGAGAGCCATGTAGGCATCCTTGAGAAGGGATACTGTCCATGGGATGCTGAAACCTACAGAGCTGTCAACCAGATCGAACATGAAATCAGCAGGTCACCCAGAGGGATATGAAACAGAGGCTAAACACGTGTGCTTGAAAACCTAAAGTCAATGGATTTAATGCAGTGTCTGTTCACTTGACTCCAGCCCTGCTGAGAGCCTCTGCGTCTTCGCCTACTGGATCATATGACAATCTTTCTTTCAATCCCTGCTTCCTCTTTTCCCTCCCACCCAATGCGTCAGTTCTGAAGTTAGAAGGTCCTCTCACCCTTTTAAGGAGAACAGAGCTGAACAATGGTTAGTCACCTCCTAGATCAGACCACAATTCTAGATCATTTCAGGCCACATCCGTTGGAACTGCTGCACATCTAGCCTTGGACCCCAGCAGTACCTAACACGGCAGCTGTCTAACAAAGGAAACCACAGCCTGGCCACCGAAGGTTGCTGCCCGAGGGAGGGAGAGAAAGAAATGGGCGCTGGTTACAAGCCTGCACCTTTCTACACTGACTCAGGGGTAGCAGAGGCCAGATGAGAGTGGCCTGGAGCGGAGACAGCTAACTAGGATAAAGGGAGAAACATGCAAGAATGTTGTGGAAGGCCAACGGAAAGAAAGGCAATAACCAAAGGGCGTCCTGTCCTAGTTGTCATCTGGTTCCATCAGCTCTTAAGGAAACTTCTGGAAATCCTGGCCTGGGAGAAAGAATTTATTCCTATTTTTTAAAAATCTTATTTATGTATTTATTTTTGGCTGCGTTGGGTTTTCATTGCTGTGTGCAGGCTTTCTCTAGTTGCGTGAGTGGGGGCTGCTCTTGGCTGTGGTGCACGGGCTTCAGGCACGCAGGCTTCAGTAGTTGTGGCACACGGCTCAGTAGTTGTGGCACGCGGGCTCAGTAGTTGTGGCACACGGCTCAGTAGTTGTGGCATGTGGGCTCAGTAGTTGTGGTGCACGGGCTTAGTTGCTCCGTGGCATGTGGGATCTTCCCAGACCAGGGCTCGAACCCATGCCCCCTGCATTAGCAGGTGGATTCTTAACCACTGCGCCACCAGGGATGTCCTATTCCTATTGTTTTTATGAGGGTTTTACACTTTTAGATTCTTATTTTGTAGTATTATAGGCTTTCCAAATCAGACATATCTTTATAATTCTTGCATCTACACAAATTTTTCATTGTTCTCTAGGTGCTAGGAAACTAGGCCAGTTGCCCCCAAAAAAGAGCGTGGAATATTAGAGGACTCAGAATGCACCAATGCCAACGTTGTTTTTTTTTTTCACTGAATTTCTGGCAATGCAAGACCCTGCCCTCACATGGACTGTAGTTGTTCTGCTCTGATAGGGATATTGATTGGAAAACAGAGTTGGAAAGGCAGGATGAGCCAGTTCTTGGAGGACTATGAACACCAGGGAGAATATGCATGTGTAGAACTTGGGGAATTGGGCAAAAGAGGATGCGGTGGGAGGGCTGTATCATGCAGTGCGAGTGGAGGGTGTAGAAAGGAAGCAGACTGGAAAGCCCTAGAGACTCAATGATAAAAGTCACTCAACCATTTAAAAAAATCAAATTAGTAGTCCCTATAAACTTAATTTCTATGAACTAACCATTTTCATATACACAAATAAATCCCAACTTCACCCTGAATGTCAACAACAACAAAGGAAAATTCTATGGAATAAATGTAATAAGAAATGTGCAAAACTTAACCCATGCAAATGTATATCTTTCAAACATTTCTGAATGGCGGAAAAATTAGATTTGAACAAATTAAGAAAATCACCTTATCCTTAGACAGAGTGACTCAGCATCACAAACATGTCAGTTCTTCGTAGACTAATTTGTAAATGTACCTCAGTCCTCCAAATACACCAACAAGCTTTTCTTCTTTTTTTTTAAACTTTTTATTTTATATTGGAATATAGTCGATTAACAACGTTGTGATAGTTTCAGGTGCAAGGCAAAGGGATTCAGCCACACATATCCATGTATCCCTTCTCCCCCAAACTCCCCTCCCATCCAGGCTGCCACATAACATTGAGCAGAGTTCCCTGTGCCATACAGTAGGTTCTCGTTGGTTATCCATTTTAAATATAGCAGTGTGTACATGTCAATCCCAAATTCCCTGACTATCCCTTTCCTCCATCCTTCCCCCGCCCCGTAAGTTCATTCTGCAAGTCTGTTTCTGTTTTGTTAATAAGTTCATTTGTATCGTTTCTTTTTAGATTCCGCATATAAGGGATATCATACGACATTTCACTTTCTCTGATGGGCACCTGCCCGAGGTATCCTCTTAGTCGGCGTGGCCTCCCAGGCTCTGTCCTCTTGTGCCTCTGCTCAGCCGGGGTGGGCAGGAAAGTCACCGTGATTTCGAAACTCACCACTTGCTCTACCTTACTCCGCGCGGAAGGATACTGAGGCCTATTTGTAGTAGTATCATTTTGCACTCTTAGGATGAGCCCTGAATTTCCCTTGAAGATCCCCCCAAGGCACCTTCTAAGTGTTGGAGATGGAGAGACAGTCCTGGATTACCCGGCGGGGCGGGGGGGAGCATGTTACCGCCGACGTCCTGATGAGTGAAGGAGCGAGGTAGAGGGCCCAGAGCCAAGGTCGATGGGACTCGGAAGCAGAAGGAGAGACGCGCCTGCTGGCTTGGAAGATGGGAGGGGATGAGTCCAGGGACACGGCAGCCTGCAGAAGCTTGAAAACGCGAGGGAATGAATTCCACCCCCAGGGCTTCAGGAGCAACACAGCCCGACAACAACTTGATTTTAACACAAGCGTTTCCATTTGGACTTCTGACCTCCAGAACGTAAAGGTAATAAATCTGTGTTGCTTTAACCCATGGACTTATAGTGGTTGCCACGGCAGCAACAGGAAACAAATACACTGAATATCTCTGGGGTTTTTTGGTGGTCGTTGTTCAGTTGTTTGTTTGTTTGCCAATCTGAGCGCTGCAAGCACAGGGTTTGAAACTGTCATGTCCAAGGATGTACTTCTAAGCCAGGCACACTGCAAATACCCAATAAATACGTGTTGATGCTCGGGTCAGAAAGGGCTTCAGGCCACGAGGGCAGCAGCTTTTGGGTCAAGTGAGGCCGCACACGGGGTCAGATATGTCTGCAGAAGCCCGCTGCCCACTCCAGCCTGAGCCCTGTGGAAACGAGGGCCAGGCTCCTGGGGAGGGGCAGTTCCCCTTCCTGTGGGGCTGCTGACGTGACAGCCCCGTGACGGGGAGAACCAGCCTCCCAGTGGACACACCCTCGGGTCTCCGTCCTGAGGGCACCGTGGTCTCCTCTATCTGCACCGCCTGGACCACAGGGACGAGACGCCATGACCCCCAGCCTCACGGCCCTGCTCTGCCTCGGTGAGATGGAGGAGGGGGAGGGGAAGCCCCAGCCAGGGAGGGACCCCTCCCCACAGCCAGGCTGCTCTTTAAGGAGACCCCAGGACTCAGGAGGCTCACGGGTAGGAGAGGCGCTGCTCAGGATTCAGGGCGAACCTCTCACAGGGGTCTCTCTTCCAGGGCTGAGTGTGGGCCTGAGGACCCAGGTGCAGGCAGGTGAGTCTGTCCCCAGGTGTCCCAGCTCCCTCCTGCTCATGGGGACAAGGGGCCACCCCCAGGCAATGGGGTGGGGAACAGCAGTTCTGGGCTGAAGCAGGGGGAGTCTGGGAGGTTGGGGGCTGAGAGCTGGGGACCGTGGGGTGAGGATGTCTTGTGACCCAGCCTCTGATGTCCTTCCAGGGACCCTCCCCAAACCCACCATCTGGGCTGAGCCACGCTCTGTGATCCCCTGGAGGAGCCCCGTGACCATCTATTGTCAGGGGACCTTGGGGGTCCAGAATTTCCAACTGTATGCATGGCAAGCCACAAAGCTCTGGAACCAAGAGCTCCCACTGGAGCCCGGGGACAAGGGCAAGTTCTCCATCTCACACATGACACAGTCCTACGCAGGGAGATATCACTGTTACTATCGCAGCCCCACTGGCTGGTCAGAGCACAGTGACCCCCTGGAACTGGTGGTGACAGGTGAGAGGACACTCGGGGGTCCCAGCCTCAGGCTCTGCCCTCAGGAAGGGGGTCTGCTCTCAGGGGTGTGTCACTCTCACAGGCCAGCCCTGGAGGAGGAAAGGGGGGTGTGAGCCCCATTTCACAAGCTCCCTCTTTCTCTCCTAGGGGCCCACGGGAAACCCACCCTCTCAGCCCTGCCGAGCCCTGTGGTGACCTCGGGAGGGACCGTGACCCTCCAGTGTGGCTCATGGGAGGGACTGGACCGGTTCATTCTGACTAAGGAAGGAGAACCCAAGTCCTCCTGGACCCTGGATGCACAGCGAGGCCCCCAGGGGCAGACCCAGGCCCTGCTCCCCGTGGGTCGCGTGACCCCCAGCCACAGGTGGATGTTCAGATGCCACGGCTTTTACAGGGACACCCCCCAGGTGTGGTCGGCCCCCAGCGACCCCCTGGAGCTCCTGGTCCCAGGTGAGGAGGTCCCACCCTGGCCTCACGCACTTTCTGAGGCACGAGACAGATTATTAGATGCTTTTCTCCCAGGATTGTCCCAGATGAGAGGGTGGGGTGAGGGGGGAGCGGGGCGCACAGGACAGAGACACAGAGTGTGAGCGACGGTCAGGCCTGGGGACCAGGACGGGGGGAGGGGCTTCATGGGAGGAACCAGCCCCTACAGCCCAGGGCTGGTCTTCCCCCAGGTGTGTCTGGGAAGCCCTCCCTCCTGACCCCGCAGGGCCCTGTCGTGGCCTCTGGACAGAGCCTGACCCTCCAGTGTCGCTCTGACGTCGGCTATGACAGATTCGCTCTGTCCCAGGACGGGGGACAGGCCCTCCCCCAGCGCCCTGGCCGGCAGCCGCAGCCTGGGCTCTCTCAGGCCGACTTCCCCCTGCGCCCGGTGACCAACACCCACGCGGGCCGGTACAGATGCTACGGTGGACACAACCTCTCCTCCGAGTGGTCGGCCCCCAGTGACCCCCTGGACATCCTGGTGGCAGGTGAGCAGCCAGCGGGTCAGTCAGGGACCCAGACTCTGCACAGGCCCTGCCGGGGGAGCCCCAGGTGGTGATGCTGGGACCGGGCGTGAGGGGTCCCCAGGGAGGGAGGGAGAGAGACAGAGAGAGACAGGGGTGGGCAGGGAGAGGGAGAGACTCAGAGAAAACAGAGACAGACAGAGATGAGCGGCCTCAGGGAGGCCCTGCTGAGTCGCAGTTCAGAACCAGGGGGCGAGCAGCCCCTCACCCCCTTCCTCTCTCTAGGGTGGCTCCCTGACACGCCCTCCCTCTCGGTGCAGCCGGGCCCCGTGGTGGCCTCAGGAGAGAACGTGACCCTGCTGTGTCAGTCACTGAGCACAAGGGATACTTTCCTTCTGTCCAAGGAGGGGGCAGCCCAGCCCCCACTGCGTCTTAGATCAAAGTACCGAGGTGGGCATTACCAGGCCGAATTCTCCATGGGTCCCGTGACCTCAGCCCACAATGGGACCTACAGGTGCTACAGCTCACTCAGCAGTAACCCCTACCTGCTGTCACACGCCAGTGCCCCCCTGGAGCTCGCGGTCTCAGGTGAGAGACCCTGACCCTGTCCCTTCAGACTCAAGTCAGCTCAGGGCTCTGTCCCCTGAGCACTCTGGGCTGGGGTTGAGTGAGGGGGCTGTGACGGAGGGTCACCCAGGGGGGATCTGCCCCTCAGAGGCCCTCCCATCCCCCCCCACACCTTCTCACCTCACCTGAAATCCGGAACCACAGGGCAGGTGTAAGGGAAAGGTTTCATGAGGTGGGGACTCCAGGGTCAGCCCCCCCCCCTTCCTGTCCTCATTCCCAGGACCCTCTGGGGGCCCCAGCCCCCCACCGACAGGCCGCAGTTCAACAACTAGGAAGTCACTGAGGTCTCTCTGCAGAGGGAGCACAGGCCACCCCAAGGCAGTTTCAGAGTCTCTGGGAGGATCTAATGCCCTCAGATCCTCAAGGACAGGCTGGGGGTCAAGTAGAGATGCCAGGAGGACCCCAGGGCTCCAGGGACTCTGAGGCTGGTGGATGAAGGGTGGGGGTCATGGAGAGGGAATGACCCCTCGGGGCCCATCTTGGGGGAGGAGCAGTGGGCTGACGTGGGGAGAAGCAGCCCCCAACCCTCACCTTCTGTCCTGACCCCCAGGAGGCTCTGAAGTTGGGGCCCTTCCCCCCATGGAGCCAGGCCCGCAGACGGGTGAGTGAGGGTCTGTGGGGCAGGGCTCGGTTATGGCCTTGGTTCAGGCACCTCTGGAGACACTGACTTGGACCCCCTTCCCCTGCCTGGGCCTCAGTTTCTCCAAGTGTAAAAGCAGAGAATCGTGGCCCGGAGCTTAGATTTCCTTCAGTTCTGACTTCCGGCTGTGACCCCCCCAGGAGAGGAGGCCTCACAGGGAGGCCCCTGAGGATGTGACTGTATGGGGGCCTGTCCCCAGTGCCGCAGTGATGGTGGCATCGTACGGGGAGGCAGAGGGAAAGATGAAGAGTCCACCGCACACAGCCGGCCCCTCCCCCAGTCCCTGCTGTGGTGGGGGAGGGCAGGGTAACAAGGAAGGACCCTCGGCTCCAGATGAGACCCTCGGACAGGCGCCCCTGCAGATGAGAAGCCCCCAGAGCACAAAGCTGGTGTCCACCTTGGGCGGGGCGCGGCAGGAGGACAGCTCAGGGAGCCCACAGCCCTGGGTTCCAATCCCAGCTCTGCCACCTCCAGCCTGGGTCACCTGGGGTTTGTGAATCCCCTCGCTCTGCCTCAGTTTCCTCATCTGTAAAATGGGTGGGGTGGGTTAGAGGAGATGAACGCACGGACCCCAGCACGAGCCTGCACACAGTAGGCGCCCAATGAAATGGCATCTTGGGCTCACTCATGACGTCACTGGTGCCCCAGGTCTCAAATGGTACCTGAACGTCCTGATCGGGGTCTCGGTGGCCTTCGTCCTGCTGCCCCTCGTCCTCCTCGTCCTACAACGGGTTCAGAGCAGACGCAGGAAGTCGGGTGAGTAGGGAACGGGGAGACCCAGGCCCCTGGAGGCGGTGGGCTTAGGGCACCAGCCGAAGGGAGACCTAAGAGACGGGCGAGGTCAGCCTAGAAGAAGACTGTCCAGAGTCTGAAACTCAAAACTCCTGAAAGAAAACACGTGCTGTCAGCTGACACGGACAATTTAAGGTATTTCCCTCCTTTTCAGTCTCATGAAGTGTTGAAACGTGTACACAAGTATGAGTCAGGTCTCCTTCTTTCCTCCTGAATCCCGTGTGAGGGGCGGGGGTCGTAAGAGTCCCAGGGCCGAGCCTGTGTCATCTGCCCCAGCCCAGGGCGAGGCTGATTTCCACCCTCCCGCAGGGGCTGCGGACCCAGAGCCCAAGGACACAGGCCTGCAGAGCAGGTAACTCCCGCCCCGAAGACCCCCAGGCCCGCCCCGCCCGCAGCTCCCCCTCATTCTCCCCCTAACACGCCCGCCTCCCCCCCAGCTCCTGCCCAGCCGCCGCCGCCCAGGACCAGGCCCTCTGTGAGCAGAAGAGGACGGGCTGGGGGACACAGGGTTCTGGAGGCAGTGGGGGAGGGGAAGGCTGGGAAGGGGTGGGCTCAGGGGGTGCGGACTGAAACCCCACACTTCACCTCACCCCTGGGTCTCAGTGGCCCCTTCTGGATGCACTGCGGGGGCTCCAGCCCTGAGGGATCTCAGGGGATCCCGCCAAGCGATACACACCCTGTTCCGCCCCAGCAGATGCTGCCGTGAAGGACCCACAGCCTGAGGACGGGGTGCAGCTGGACCATCCGGTGAGACCCCTGCTCCTGTCCAGGCCACCAGAGACCTTCCTGTTGCCAAACTCAGTCCAATGGACACGTCTCTGTCCTCACGTCCCAGCTCCAGCAGCGTCCCACACTGACCTCTCCTTGCGGGCTTCCTTGGTCATCCTGCTGTGACTCCACCCCTCCTGCTTCCTTGTGACCTCATGGCCCCTCCTTCGGGGTCCCCTTTCCTGGCTCCTCGTCCTCTGTCTGACCTTCTGGCGTTGCAGAGAAGCCCCACGTCTCAAGAGGATCTGTGAATAAGTGAATCACCTGAAAGTCCCCCGGCCCCCCTTCCTTCATTCACCCAAAAGTGGTGCACAAGGAGAGCGCATCCCCCCGGCTCCCTGTAGGTGCTTCAGGTGCAGCAGGGAGCTCACCTGGTGGGTGAGAGAGGCTATATGTAAAGAAGCAGGTAGCGTCCGAGAATGCAAGGTCCCGATAAGGAAAGTAAAGCAAGAGAAGGTGACAGAGTGCATGGGGGGAGGGGGGCAGCAAGTGCAAAGGTCCTGAGGCAGGGACGTGCTTTTGCAGGAAGATGGCCATGCGGTTGGAGCCAAATGAGCAAGGGAGATAATGTGTTAATACAGAAATCAGAACCGTAGAAAGAATCCAGAGGCTCCAAGGTGTTAGGAGGCCCCTGGAGTTTCCATCAGGAAAGTGACCTGACCTAAGGTTCTAAAGCATCACTCTGGCAACACAGTGGAAAGCTGACGGAAGGAGATCACAGTGGATCCAGGAAGTCCCCTTTCTGTCCTACTCTCTCCCTCCAGCAGAACAGGCAGGATGCAGACCCCCAGGAGGGGACGTACGCCCAGGTGAACCACTCAAGATCAAGACTAAGGCGGCGGGTGGCCACCTCTCCTTCCTCCCTGTCGGGGAGATTGCTGGGCATGAAGGACAGACAAGCGGAAGAGGACGGGCAGAGGGACAGTCAGGTGGGTCCCATCCTGTTGGGGCCCCCAGGCTTCCCCCACCCCAACCACACACCCTCCCTCTCCCCCACCGCAGGCCGCCGCATCTGAAGCCCCCCAGGATGTGACCTATGCCCAGCTGAACCACTCGACCTTCAGACGGGTGACTGCACCCCCTGCCCCCCAGTCAGGGGAGCCCCCAGAAGAGCCCAGCGTGTATGCTGCTCTCGCCGTCCGCTAGCCCAGGAAAGACCCAGACCCCACGCTCCAGGGAGAAAGACTGCACGGATCCTGGAAGGCACAGGAGCTGCCTGCCCGCACTGGACACCACCTAACGACCATCAGACAGCCTGGACTCCCAAAACAGACCACCAGGAGCCCCTGGGACCCTTTGGCAGTCACCTGACTCTACCCTCAAAGATAACTAATATCCTTACATTTGGGAAATAATGCAACAGACTTCTCAAAAATCAATGTGTGAACTGAAAACCAAAATCAAAAGAAAAAAACAAAACAAACAAGAAAACAAAACAGAAGTGGGAAAATGTTTTCAACAAATGATAATGTAAATAATACACATCAAACATATGAAATGAGAAAATTAAGAATCATGAATGAATATATTAGAAAAGGCTTTAAAAAAATCAATGACCTAACATATCACACCAAGACTTTAGGATAAAATAGCAAATTATTTCAAATGAAGGTAGAAGGTGGGAATAATAATGACAAGGGTAGCTAATAATGAAGACAACCAAAAAGTAGAGAAAATCAAGGCAAAAAATAAAGTCATTCTTGAAAACATTCATGAATCCTAGCCACCACAGCTGAGGGAAAAAGAGAGAAGGCACACACTTCTAATATCATGAAAGAAACTGCAGACAGCACTACAAATCCTACAAACTTTATAAAAATAGTAACAGAACCTTATGAAAAATTTGATGCCGACATACAGAAAATGTAGATGGAATGGAAATCTTCAAGTGTACGATTTACTAAATGGATATAAGAATAAATGGAAAATCTATCACCTTATACATTGATCCTGTAATCAAAACTTACCCACGACTGAACTATATAGAATCTAACAAAGTCAAAATGAAAGAAATAATAGAATGCTGGTTACTGGGGTTGGAGCGAGGGGGAAATGGGAAGATATTGGTCAAAGGGCACAAGCTTCCAGGTATAAGATGAGTAAGTTCTGGGGATCTAATATACAGCATGGTGGTTATAGCTAATCACACCGTATCCCATTCTTGAGTGTTTTGAAGAGAACAGATCTCAAATGTTCTCACCAAAAAAAGAAATGGCGACTGTGTGATGGGATGCAGACAAATGCTCTGACGGTCATCATTGTCCAACGTGTTAAGTGTGCAGTTCAGGTGGCTTCACTGGTGATTTCTTCCGAGCACTTATGTACTCGTGAAAGACACACGCACACGCACACGCACCCCAAAATTGCACAAACATTTCCCGAGAACAGAAAAAGAAGAAACATACCTCAACACATCAGATCAGGAAAATATTTACACCAAAACCTGACAAGGGAATTATACATGGGAAAGTCACAGGAAGATCTCTCACATGAGCTTAGATGGAAATCCCTAAACAAAGTGTACACAAATAAGATTTAGTGATATATTAAAAGGACATTACTTCATGACCATACTGTGGGGGTTTTTTCCCGAAGGATAGAGTAACTTAAAATTTAAAAAATCTATCACATAATGCAATACCTTAATAGAACAAATAAAAAATAATCACCTTAATAGATGCAGACAAAGCCTTTGATAAAATATACCAACAATTCCTGGTGAAAATAAAAACGCATCAGAAATAGAAGGGAATTTCCTTTCACGGATGAGGGCATGTTTAACAATCAACACTAGATGTCATTTGTACAGGTGAGAACCTGAGGTCCTTTCCTCTACGACTGGCAATGATCCAAGTATGTTCCGTACGACCACTTGTATTCACCAGGGCCCTGGAGGCACCAACCAAGTAAGTAAGACAAAACAAGGCGAGAAGCTCTGAAGTGAATAAGAATAATATTGTATTACTAAGAGACTGCACAGTTGTGTTCGTAGAAAATCCAAAATAATGTAAAGATGTTCTACTCTAATCAAAAAGGAGTTTTCCAGCATCGCTGCATATATGGTCAATATATAGAATTCAACTGCCTTCGAGACTTCCGGTTCTGGATTGAGATTAAGTAAATGAATGTCTCCCTGTTCCATGGCTTTATACCAGTGACCTGAATGTATACTCCTGAATTCCAAGAGCCGTAAGATAATATATTTGGGCTGTTTTAATCCACCAAGTTTGTGGTAATTTGTGGCAATTTGTGGCACAGGGAAACAATACAACCACTTGAATTTTCTTTTGATTAGTGTTTGCATAGTACATTTTTCATCCTTCTACTTTTTTAATGTGGTAAAATATACACACCATGATATTTACCACCATTTAAACATTATTGAAGTGCGAAGTTAGTGGCCTTAAGTACATTTACCATGCTCGGCAATCATGACCACTGTACATCTTCCAGAACATTTTCATAATCCCAAACAGAACCTCTGTACCCATTAAGCAAGAACTCCCCATGCCCCCTAACAACCAGGCACTGGTCATCTCCATTCAAATTCCTGCCTTGGGCTTCCCTGGTGGCACAGTGGTCAAGTGTCCGCCTGCCGACGCAGGGGACGCGGGTTCGTGCCCCGGTCCGGGAAGATCCCACATGCCGCGGAGCGGCTGGGCCCGTGAGCTATGGCTGCTGAGCCTGCGCGTCTGGAGCCTGTGCTCCACAACGGGAGAGGCCACAACAGTGAGAGGCCCACGCACTGCAAAA